GTCGGTTTCCGGGCCAACCCAGGTCGCCTGGCAACGGCACTTATGTTCACGACGGCCTAGAAGGCCAGATCACTTGTATCCAGTCGACTCGGAACTGGACGACAAGGTCTGTAGACGAGCCAGCATCGGGCTCGGTGAGTCCGGCTGAGGCCGATGGGCGTTGCGGCCTGACAGAACGTCGGCCAAAGGTTTCTTGCGGAATTAATTAATTATGCTTCCCTCGCTTGGCTTGGTCGCGATGCCTGGCTTCTTCGCTCTGGCATGTAACAGGCCTTAGGAAAATATAAGACACGCTAGAAAACCATACAATCGCTCAAGCGAGGCTAGCCCTGATGCAGGCAGAAGCACAGACAGCCATTTTGTCCAGTATCGACTACTGTTATTGCAAGTAGTAGTGTGTGATGCTCTAATGAGGCTTTTATTGATTTTATTTGGTGAGTTTGGATTTGTCATTTTCTCTACAGATTGATAATGTTTTTATCATGAAACACAGTCTCAAGGCGTCAAGAGTATAAATAAAAAAATTTTTCAAGTCATTAGTAGAGACAGATGATGGGTTTTTGGTAAATTAACGAAAAAATATAGGACACAATCGAAAGCCGTACGTCTACTCAGGCAAGACTAACCCCGATCCGGACAGCAAAACAAACACACATGTTGCCAAGTATAGGCTACATACATGGCTAGTAATAGTGAGTGCTTATTTCGTGAATTTGTAGTTTTCATTACATTGTAACACCAGTACTGGCTGACGCGAAATGCACGCCTAGGGAAGAACTCGAAAATATGGCCAACCAACCTACTACTCACCAAGTTGTGAGTAGCACATGCTATTTTTGCATTTGTGGTAGGAAATAAATCAAGTGGATTATCGTCAAGGCCGGAGTGATGAGACAGGCAAGTGGGACCCTCGCCTAGAGACTCACATGCGTTCAGCCTCGGCCTCGGCCAGTCGCATGCAGACGCCTTCGCGCATCAAAATCGGTATCGAAAGATTCGTGATGCCGGTTCTCGCTCGCTGGCGCTCCTCGTGATGGCGTTCTCGTCGTTCACGCGCCTCGTCTCGACGCCTCCGGCGCTGTTCCTCACGTCTCGTCGCCTCGTCTTCGCCTCCATCCGCCGACTGGTCGACCTGGCCGGCCGGGCCCTTGGGAAAAGAGACGGAGACGTGAAGAAGCGACGGTAGCCTGGCCGGCGTACCAATGAGGCCCATCGAGACCGTCGAGCCGCGGCCCGTAGCCGCAGCCGCCGTGAACGAGGCCGTGGAAGCGGCGGAAAACGAGCCCGACTGAAGAGCGTCAGGCTCGAGTCCCGCCCTGGCCAGACTGGACAGACTTGAGCCCGACTCCTCGGCAGCAGACGGCGGTGGCCGCCTCCGTCGCTGTTGCCGTGGCCGTTGCCGCCGGCTTGTCTCCGCCTCACCAGCCTCCACCGGCCTCATGTGGCCAGGCACGGATTGAAAGACGTCGACGGCCTGTCCGGCCTGTTCGTTGGCAATAATGAATCCTGCCTCGGACTCGGACTCGAACTCGGACTCGAACTCGGCCTTGCCATCAAGCTTGGGTTTGGGCTTGGGCTGGGTTTGCGGTTGGGGCTCAGGCCAAGTGTTGCCAAGGGCGAGTCTGAGGGCCGTGAGCTCGAGGCCGGTGGGAGGACCAGGTCCGGCGGACACGAGCTCGGCGGTGTGGGGAATGTGGTGCGTCGTCGAGTTGGCCGGGAAGCCGAGCTCCTGACAGAGTCGTGCTCCGAGTCCCGCGGTTTGGCCCAGCCTGGCGGCGAGGCTGTCGCGATAGTCGACCTCGCGGTTGGCCAGAAACAGGCCCATGTAGGCCGGGGGCGACGTGTTGCCGGAGTCGCGCAGGTTGCGGACCCTGACGACGGGCTCGTCGGAGGCCTGACGAGGCAGGGACATTGGCGACTCGGTCAGACGACGGCTGAACGAACGGTTGTGCAGGACTCGGTCAGTTTGCAGGTCGGGCGAGATGGGCACCAGCAGCGGGTCCTGGTCTCGATCGGCCCGGAGACGGGCGGCCTGACGACGAGGCGGGACTCGACGAAAGTGGCATCGCGACAGAGCCGACCGGTGGATGCGGCCAATGAGAGGATGAGTTGGCTCGTGGCCTCGAGTCGGAGACTGCTCTGAACTCGAGGCATCGTTGAGCGCGCCGGTGGGGCTGACGCCCGTCTCGTCGGCCGCACCGAAACGTCTGGCCGACACGTCGGATGGCAACTGTTCGCCTGGCAACTGGCACAGACAAAGATCACCACTGGGCAAGTCCGAAACGCCTGGCTGAATCTGGTCAGGGGGTGTGGTGAGGGCGGCGTGAAGCGGGAGAGTGAAGCGAGAGAGCGAATTGTGGGAAAAAAAATTAAGCACAAATAAACTAGTTATTACCAATAAGAACTATTTATTTGCTAATATTTATCCACAAATAACCAGCCAATTGTTCGGATTAAATGGGCCTACGAGACAATTAGCAAATACCGAGTTAATCGGACTAAATCGGAATTAAAGCGGCATTTACTACTGACCGTTTACTACTACTCTTACTCCTTTACTCACTAATATTTATTTATTATACATCAATTAAGTACATTTATTCGACATTACCTAGCCAATTATTCTGATAAAATGGACTTTCGAGAACATAACTAAAACCCCTACTCAACTGGACAAAATAGGAATTCAAGTGAAATTTACTCCTAATCCTTTACCGATATTAACATTTAATAATTCATTACTTTTTGTCTACTATTAACCAACCAATTATTCAGAGATACTTGGATGTATAGACTATTAGTAACTCCCGTCTCATTCGGTCTAAACCGGTATTCAAGTATAATTTACTAATATTATTTTAAAAATTATTAATTAATTACATTTTATACACCTCTTGTCAACCAAATATTAAGATAACTAGGCTTTCAATACTATCCATAACACTTGAAGCCACATTATGCAATAAAGGAGTGAATTGCGATTTCATCTCTGCCCCATCATTTCAGACAGATTCTCTTTCAGCCCGGTATCTGAAACAAAATTTTCTACTCACCAGCCTCATCTTACTGGGCAGATTCGCAAATAATTCACCAATAGGCCATACAAAATCGACAATTTAAGCGGAAGCTACGAATGTAAATTTACTACTATTTCTATTGATTAATTAAATGAGGTTTCATCGCTATTTATCAATTTTTGAAATTAGTTTTAAACAATTATTTTTATTTATTTATTTTGATTAGCACTTTTAAAAACTAATTAATTAATTGATTGCTTTTGTTTGCCACTACTAGTTATATACTACTTGAAACCTGGAAAATATGAGTAAATCTAGAATACAAGTTCTAGCTATCCTAGGCCACAGTTGGACTTGACTGTGATTCGACCTTGCCACATCATCAAATACAGTCTCGCTGGCAATTTAACAATACACCGACGCTCAGTTTAATACTAACTATTTATTTATTCATAATTTTATATTCACTACTAACTAACTATTTATATAAATTAGGCAAGGCTTAAAATGCAGCTTAGCTTTTTCAGTCAAGTCTATGCGAATATCAGGGACGTCATGTGGCCTACTCATCGGATTGTATGAAAGTTCTAATTAAATACTTCATCACAAGACTCCTGTCAACCCGATAGAAAGAATTGCGAAAAGGATAACCAAGCAAAGCATAAATGGATCAAAAATAAGATAAGATTTTTTTGATGCTGCTAAGATTATGAAGCAATTAACCTCATAGATTGAGAAGCAAACCCACACAATTTAGCCACTGTTCATAAAAAAACAAAAAACATTTTAACACATTTATTTTGTTTAAAAAGTATCAACTCGGCGACATAACGACTGAATAGATTCGCTAAGACGTATATTCAGCCTATACCTCTTAAGTGGTTGTTTCGATGCTTTGTATGTTCGTGTGCCTTGTGTGCCCAATAGTTAATTGTAATGATCGGGCTAAAACCAAAATCCACAGACAGAACCGTTTCTTCTATCAAGAATGTTGGTTGTTGCGCTCCTGTCCGTTGCCTCTCTTAACCTCTCAAATAAACTCATCAGAATTTGTATACAAAGCATGGACAAAAATATCAAATAACAGTTTATTGTGAAACAATAAACATTTTATCTTAAAATTTCTAATATTGTATATTTTTGATTCAAGTCTGTTTGACGCAAAATTCCTATCACAAATAATTTACTAGCTTATAGATGTGAGCAAAGTGCGAATTAAGAGGGAAACTATCATTTTTGCGTTTTCTTATCTATTTTATTTTGAATGACGTCATTACCCTAAGGAATCTCTTCAGACGCTTTTTGCCATGTTGGCAAAATATATACAACCGGCAAACTTTAGAACTCTAAATGTCTTTATAAGTAGACGAATCTTTAAATGAACCATTTAATTATTTGCGAAAATGTAAAAAGAGCCCTCTAAGGCTAAAGTTAATGGCATTCATTACTAGGTTCGTCAATCTCCTTATTGAATCTTTGACTAATTAATCAGACGCTGGCCGACAAATGAGATTGTCTGAATACAAAACCGCATGCAAGGGTTTATGGGTGTAAAAGCATAAATGAGTCATTACTTGAGGCCTCATGGCCCGGCGGAAGATGGGAAAGGTAGGAGACACTAACGCGGCAACCAATCGGATGAATAAGTGAAACTAGTGTTGGCAAGTAAATGGGAATGGTGGAGATAATTTGGGAGGAATAGAGGGAACAGGAGAAACCGCTGAGTACAAAGAGAGGCTAGATTAGGCTAGGTTCTGGTTAGAGCTATATACTTATGAGAAATACATGCACCAATATATACTTAATATAAAGTGTATAGATCTGGATGGAATAGCCCGAGGGTCACTAGGACGTAAGTGAAGGACGATTTGCAGTAGCGAACGTTGTTTGCTTCAGAAAAGTGACCAAGTTGTAGAGGCAAGTTCAAATAACCTCTATAGAAGCTATGAAGGTTTTAAATTTCACTTAGGCTATTTATTAAATATAAATATTCCTCAATAAAAAGCATGTACAATTGTAGAGTAGTAATGAATTTTTTTTCAATTATTAATAATTTCTAAGTGAAAATTGAAATTAACTATTCC